AAGTAACTTGTTACAGATTAACAGAGTGTGAGCAAACAGGGGATATTTTTCTCAGCCATTTCTTTTACTGGCAGGCTGCACATGGCGGTTACAAAGGAAGAATCAATCACTTTATTATTTATCTTGAAAGGTAATCTTATAAGGAATCTTAAAGGAATAGCAAATCTAAACTTTTATACATGAAAACCAGTCAGCTCTACTTTAAATTACATACCTGCTCATCAATAGTTTTTTCTATCAGGAGATGGAGGGCAAAAATGGGTACAAGGAATTAATCATCATCTTTGATCATCAACCAATCCTAGCAAGAAAGGCACGTCAGCTAATGATAACTGGGCTGCTTTGTTCTTGTTCCCTGACCTTAAAGAGTTCCTCACTCAACTATGTGCCTTTCTAAAACTTTAGATTGTCTTCTTGGGTTTTTCACCTCAAAGCGATTTAACAAAAACATCGTACTCTAACTTTAAGTTATTTTCAAAGCTTTGTTTCAGCTGTGATGCACTCTAAAACGTGTGAACACATCTCCCAACATTAAGATTTTAAAAAAAAATTAAACTAGCTGGGCTACTGGGACTCAATTGTTTTTCTTAATCATTAATCTAAGCCACAGTCTATATGGTTCCTCAGTAGAAACTCATGTGTTTTAGCTACGTGACACTTCTTTGTTTTATTTTTAACCATCAAAACTCTATTTAAACTAACATTATCAATTAAACAGTACAGCTTAGGAAGAGATCATCTTCATAATAATCCACAGGTTAAAATGACCAGTAGTACAGGATGTTTCCATGAGATAAACACACCACATTACAGGCAGTGGGGATCTCCCCACACCCATTCACACCATGCCAGATATCAGAGAAAGATGGCAGCAGCAAACATGTAAAGGCACAGCAGAAGCAAAAGACATTCTGAAGTCTGTGGAGCCTTGTCGATAGGAGAGTCACTCATCAGGGATTTGCCTCCTGGTGGGCTGACACCCTGAAGTCAACTGCCATCCCTTCTGACAAGGTCACCATCAATCAACATCATTCAAATCCATCATGGCCGGTGGTGAATGCAAACCTGTGTCCTGAGGTTGTCCAACGATACTGTTACTGTTATCTCAACTGCCCTTGGCCTCTGGGAAGGAAGGAGCCAGGAAGACATATTTTTTATTACTCCCTCTGATAAGGGCTCTCAAAAGTGATAAACATATTTAGTCATGTTGGACGTACTTCTAGGACTACCAAATTACTTTGACAAGCTTTGGGAGTAAAATGTAAATGTGATGATACTACAAGATGAACTGTGCTTTTCTCAAGAAATATGGGGTACTTTTATGCTTTATGTATTTTAAGAATAATAAATAAGCATTGATTTTATGAATAATACCACCAACCTATTAACTTGAAAATTGTAACTTCTATGTTATAATGCATTTTATTCTAATAATATCACCAAAAACGCCCCTACGGAGGCACAGATAATCATAGTATCTCCAGAAATAATTACCAACTTATATGTAGCCAAAGGCAGAGTATGAGATAGCTGCTATGCAGTGTGTCAGCTGATAATGCTAATTAAATCAGAGGACACAGGCTACTTAAGTCTAGTGTCCTGCGGACAGATGGAGGTGCTTTATCCAGCACCCAGGCTTGAATGTCAAAGTGTCTGTCTCAAGATGAGCGAGTCAGCTTGTGCAGACTCACAAGGACTGACTGTCACCAAGCCATGAGGGCATCATGTTGGGATCAGCCACAGTGGGAGAATTTACATGATTGAAATCATCCAACACTACACATTAGAGTTTTGTTTTCTGGAAAGGTAGATTATAAACATAACATTGTTATATATGAAATGTGTCAGTCAATCACCATAAGAGAATGCTAAAAATGAATGGCATGCATGTGTGTGTGTGTGGGGGGGTGTTGTATGTATACATGGGGGGTGGTTAGAGGTCAGCTTTGGGGATCTTACTCTGTCACTTTCCACCTTATCTTTTGAGATAGTGTCTCAAAGCTCACAGCTTTGACCAGCCTGCTTGGCTATCCAGCTCACTTCCGTCCCACCCCTCACTCCAGGCACTAGAGTTACAGGTACATGACGCCACGTCTGTTACATGGGTACTGGGGATCATGGAGCATCTAGGGGTGCGGGAACGGGTTCATTTTCCTTGCCAATGAAAAGGCTGGCAGCAAGTGTTCCCAGAAAACTGGGAGAGTCCCCGCAGAGCCGTCTTGGGAAGTCAGGGGTCCCACTTGAGGTTTTTAGTCTCCTCTATAAAAGAATTTAAGAATGGGTACAAACAGAAGCTCAAGGGCAAAGAATGAACTCAAATGGACGATTGAGGATAATGTATTAAAGTTAAAAAGGAAAGCCCCAGGACATGCAAGCCATGGAGAAGAGAAGGAACAAACACCACGTCACTTGAGCTAAGCCATCATGGAGGTGGTCAGCCCCTGGCAGCAGGCAGCTACAGCATGGGGAGAGGAGCTTTAGACAGAGAGTAAGGAAGCCATAGCATCAGTTAGGTATTTCAAAGGTAACCCTTCTGTGGGCTGAACTTTTCAGTCAGCTACAGCCAAGAGTCTCCTAAAGAGCTCACCCAGGACAGGCACATGGCGTGAGTAGTATCTGCCTTCCGGCAGGGCCTCACCCAACCTGAAATGGCGTGAGAACGGGGTCAACTAGAACCCTTGGCCTTCTGACCTTTCCCCTTTTGAATGTCACTTAATCCTTTTCAAACGTCTCTGTGACTGCAGCACCACAGCTGAGAAACTTAGAAGTGGTGGATTTCTTGTGGGTCCGCTATCTGCTGTCAGTGTGAACCAGCCAAATGAACAAAATGCCAGATGGACAGCACCCTGTGTTGACGAGGAAGAGTAAGATCTGGAAGGTCCCTATCTTGTGAATGGGAGAACTGATCGGTCCATTTTGGGTCCCAGGCAGCAGCAGCTTTTTAAACATGACACCTCTATTCGCCACATGGCCCAGTGATCATGTTCTAAGGAATTTACAGTTGCGCCTGACACACACAGGAACTGCGACGCTCTGACAGTGAGGAGAACCACTTTGAACCCACACTCACCCCTTTCCCTCGGGCTCCCATAGAAGATATTACGTGAGGTGGAAGACACGTTCCACCTCAGCAGGAGAGCGGCCTCATCACCAGAGTGGACTGCCGGGGAGGCCTCGTGCATCTCTGGCGTTGTGAAATGAGAGTGGAACCATGATCCAGAGGTGCGGGCTCTGGGCAGTGGGCCTTGCAAAGATGTCGAGCGGAAAAGGAGGAGAAAGAGGCGGGGAGGAGAGGAAGAGAAACAAGAAGGAAGGGGGAGGGAGAAGAGGAATCCTTTTTTATAGTTTTTATCTTTGTTTGTTTGTTTTCTGTTGGGAGGGGTGTGTGTACACTGCTCACTGGATGTAGACGTCAGAAGTTGCCAGAATCGCTTCTCTGCTCCCTGCTTGTGGTTCCCAGGGATTGAACTTTCATCGTCAGGTTTGGTCTCAAGCTTTTTTTACCCACGAAGCCGTCTCACCAGCCCCAAATCAACAACCGTACTTTAATGTCTAAATGTAAGCAAAGATAGTTGAGAGCAATGGAAGTATTTGCCCAGGCAGTGGTTGGACTAGGATTGGAAAGTGGGTTTTCAAATTTCTCTCTCTTCTGTGGCAAAGTCCAAATAAATGCACAAAGGAAAGGTTGCCTCAAGTGTGCGCTGTTTACTCCAGTCGGAAGATTAACTTTTCTAATCTTTCTGGAGGCAAAATTCCTCTTGTTGTCACGACCTCTACAGAGAGTTACATAATTATATAATGTCAAGGGCAATGTCTGTCTTTTCCTTCATCCTCATCTCCAATCTTCGTCATAGAAATCATAGAACAGAAAATTTCGAAGACACTGAAGGAGACTTTATATGAAATGCAGCCAATGAGTTAGCCTGGAACACTACAAGCTACTTGATGAAACCATTACCATAAATGGGGACACTTGGAGTCCCCAGAGTCTTAACTTTGCTTGTGGGATTGGGCACACAGCTACCATCACAGTGAGAAAAGAAACCACATGTTTTAATTGTACTATGTGTGATTCCACTCAAAATTAGTGAAAACATGGCCAGCTCAAAACTCACAATTTGGGGCTGGAGAAGATGGCCCTATGGGTAAAAGCACACACTGCTGAATTTGCAGAGAATCCAAGTTTGGCTCCCAGCACTCACATTGGGTGGCTCACAGCTGCCTGTAACTCCAGTTCCAGAGTATTGAATACCCTCTTCTGGCCTCTGTGAACACCTACACTCACACACACCACACAGACCTAGGAGCTTGCACATAACTGAAAATAAACATTTTTTAAAAATCATAATCTTCCCTGTCATCCATAGTATTTTTCTGATTCCGTCTGTGTACAGACTGCATACTCGAACCTTTCATGCCCAAAGGGCAGTAACATGAACTTAGAGCATACAAGTTAATGCCATTCATACCAGCCTAGACACAGTCTACAAATCTTTCCAACTCTGCTTCATCACAGAGGAAACACTCACTTATAAATAGAATTTTATATTCCATGCCTCTGGGAAGTTGGTTTGGAACTGTTTGTCTGGTGTTTTCAGTTTGATTGTATGTCTTGATATCCAAACTCCACACTTCTAGAAAATATGAGGGGAGAGGAAAGAGGAGGAAGGAAAGATTGTACAGTCATAAAGACCCCACCCCAAATCTAGCCTAGCACCAGAAGGTGTATTACGTCTTCAGACATGGACTTCAGAATGCTTGGGCTCAAGTAAACAAGATAGGCATCATTGCACAATGGCAAGTTATTGGAACTATGGACCTTGTTTGATTGAAGAATAAAAAAAATATCTAGAGTCAAATTTTACTCTGTGGTGTTTACACAAAGAGATTAAGAAGACTTTGAACATCATCTTGGTCAAGACTTTTAAACTGAAATGCAGATTGTGAGAATGCGCAACAGAGAACAGGCAGAGGGGCAATAAAAGTCGGAGGCTAGTGGAGAGCTTTGCCAATGGACAGATATTTTGTTAATTGACTATTAGGAAAGCCTTCCTAGGAAAAGCTATGCCCATCACACTGACACCAGAATTTTCTCCCTCGGAGACATTTCATTCTGAGTTAAACATTGCTTCTGGCTAAAAGCCATACCTGCAGGAGAGAAACAACATCCTGAACTTTGTTGCTTGTTAACATCTGAGCTGAGCAGACTTTTCCTAACAAGGATAGAGACTAGCTTGCTGGTGGCTGATTCTTTAAGAGACCTGGTGACCGGTATCATGCAACACTTTAGTATAACTTAGCTTTTATGCCATGTCTTTGCAAGGTGATTTCCCACACAATGGAAATACCAAGGCAGGGGAACAAAAGAGAGGCATAGACTCCACCTCATCAGGAAGCACAGGGGCAGCTTGGTCCAAGATACCATGGGAGTCTCAGCGCAGGACATTAGTGTGGCCACCAGTCAGTTTTCCCAGCAACGATTGATTCCTAGGAGTCATGACATTCAGGCCTAAAAGGAGAAAAATCCCAGGCAGACAAAGATCATCAGGTCACCCTACTTTGTACCAGGAAAGTTCCACTGAAAGACATACTTTGTCTCATCCCCAGAGTATGCTTGGAGGCAGTGGTACAGTCAGCAAACCCGGCCCTGCCTGGTTATCAGCAGAGTGATAATGTGACCAAGGCTGAAGGTTTGATTTCCCAGGAATCTCTGCTCCCTTCCATATTCCGAATCTGTACTTCTCCCAGTGTCTCTGGCCAATGACAGAAGCCCAGGCTCCTTCGGCACAAACTGTGGAAGCACTGGTGGGAAGACACTGATGTTTTCCATCACATGAGCATCAAGCAGTTGAATATTATCACACAAAGAAATGTCCTTTCTGGACTTCCTGGGTTTGGGTACAATGTATATCGGCTCATGCTTAGTTACAAATCCCCATGACATGTTCTTCCATGTCCTTATCGTCTAAGTTCATGAGGCAGAGAGATTGACACCAAACACAGTAGGGTGGGGACCATTTGAGCTGCCCAGTCAGCCAGTGACAGAGACGAGGCTCAAACTCTTGCTTCTTAAGTGTCTTTGCTGTTACGGTTTTGTTAAAGGTTGTGGCCAGCTGTCACTCAGCAGAATGTACAGCCAGAGTTCTTGGGCTCGCTTGACTGTGCCTTATCCATATCCATCAGAAGTCCAGAAGCCTTCAGGTTCTGAGGACCAAGGCTTGCACAGCTTTAAGCATCCTGGGCGTAATGATGAGGATTATTTCCTGTATATGTGGGGAAAGAGCACATCCACATTCCTCACCCTGCCCAGCAGGCTCAGGCGCTTAGCAAGGGCACCCTGTTTTTAATGTCTACCTGTCACCTGCTCTGCTCCTCCGTGGTTTTGGTTTAATTGTTTATTTTTCCATAGGTTTTTCTGCCTAAGTCCACAGACTCAGGAATGTTCATATTAATAAAGTGAGAGCTGAACTCCCCAAACACATTTGTTTCTCTTTCAGAGCAAACGTCAGTAGTATGAGAACCATGCTGTGTCATACCGATACGTTACTCATTAACTAAGAAAAAAAAAAATTGCCTGGGCTAGATCAGAGGAGGGTAGGAGCTTCCTGCACGGCAGGAGCTGTGACTGCTGCTGGAATACGACAATTTTCACTTTATTTGAGAGCTCTATCGATGAGCTTCTGAGCTGACCTCTTGAAGTGCTGGAGGCCAAGAGCACAATGGGGAAGAAAAGACTTTCCTCCAGCGACAATGTGTTCAAGTTCGAGACTCCCAGTAGCGCGAAGACCACTCCCGAGGCCCTAAACAGCTCCTCTGACAGCCCCAGCTTTCTGTTCCTCGGGTAAGTACAACCCTGCCCTGGCCATCCAGGAGGCTACCCAGGCCACCTCCGGCCACCCAGCAGATGGCCCTTGGAGAGCTCCGACCCCATTCGGTGGAGAAACACTGGCCAGAGACTTCCTAGGCCAGGCACCCTGCCGGGTGGAATTGGAAGGGTGTGGAGAGAAGGGATACGCTCAGAGAGGGGGAAAAATGAAATAAAATGAATAAAAACAACGACAAGTATTGCCGCCACTCAGCCCAATCTTTCATGTCTTCTTCCATATTCATAGCAGATAACTGGACACTGGGAATTTCCTCGTTCTTGACTTGCTCTTAGGTTTTTCAGGAAGTGGAGTTAGACAAGCAAACCAGAAATCAGGCTTATTATTGAAATGTTATTAAGTCGCAGTTCTTAAGACATTCAGACAATTGTTTTTTGCCTTTCTAATTAAATACTGAATATTACTATGTGCTCAGGTTCAGTTCTATACTGTACGGTGACTTATAGAACTTTTGACCACAGTTAGGACATATCCCCTTTTAGCTCTGTTACTATCAATGCGCTGCTCTGATATGGTGTAATTACATGTCACTAATGAAAACTCAATTCCTTATTAATATAGTCTCAATAATTCTTCTGTAAGTTTTCATGTTAGCTTAAATTTTCCCACCCATTATTTAGTGGCTAGTCGAGTGACTGAAAATGTAAAACTCTAGGCTGGAGAGATGTCTCAGCAGTTAAGAGCACTGGCTGCTCTTGCAGAGGACCTGGGTTCAAATTCCAGAACCTGCATGGCGGCTCATGACTGTCTATAACTCCAGTGCCAGGAGCTCTGATAACCTCTTCTGTCCTTCTTGGGCATTGCACACATGTGGTACAAAGATATCCATGCAGGCAAAACACTCATACACAGAAAAGGAAATTAAATACATCTTTTTAAAAAAATAAATGTAAAATCCCTGCAGCATATGTTTGTGTTTTGTTGAGTTTCAATTGACTCTCAAATGTGTTGTCTTAGCCTACCTGTTAGACAGCCATGCAAACTCTTCTCTGGTGTGCAGAAATAATGAGGAAAAATAAGGTGCACTAGCAAACAAAAATACATTACTAGGTGTGATTTAAGTAAATATAATAAACACAATTCTCAGTAAGTAAATGGAATAAAAAGAAAGGGGGAAATGGCTGGGTAGTTAAGAGTACTTGCTGCTCTTGCAGGTACTGGTGGTCTATTCCCAGTACCCATGTCTAGTGGTTCACAACCACGTGTAATTCCAGTTCTAGGGACTCTGATGCCTTCTTCTGCTGTCCATAGACACTGGAGTCATGTACACACACACACACACACACACACACACACACACACACACACACACACACATACACACACACACACACACACACACACACACACACACACACACACACACACACAATTTAAAAATAAAATCCTTACAAAAAGAAAAGGCTGCCGAAATCTAAATGTTCACATCTTTCTAAAAGGATCCAGATCTATGTTGCTATATAATATTTAACATCAGCTCTCCATCTTAGCATTTATGAGTGTTACTTTTAAATGTGTACTGGAAACAATCTAAAAATACATTAACATACCTCCAAATAGTGTACGAATTGAAGAACCTTTAATCTAGTTGAATCATCCTGGTATGTTATGTATAAAATTACTGAAAGTACTTGAACAAATGTTTGGGCACACATTGGTTAAATTTTTCAGATATAAAATAAGAACGAGAAAACATGTCTTCTATATTCTAAATACATTGGGAATTTCTGTAGCTTCTATGTTCTAAATATATATTGGGAATTTCTGTAGCTGTGGCTGTTTGGTTTCCTGTTACCCTTCCCATGAACTGGAGCTGATAAAGCTGATTCTCAGATCAGCAAACTACCTTAAATAGAAGCAGATAGAATCCACACACTATTTTTATTCAAGCATGCATTTCAGCCAAAGTTGATTGAGTAACCGTTGTGTGCCAGGCTATATGGAGGGGATACAATCATGAGCAAGAGAAGGCTAATCCCTGGCTTCTTGGAGATGATGTTTAATGTTGGAGGCCTGGAAAAAAAAACACAAATAGATGCATGCATGCATACCTAAATGCATAATTTAAAATCAGTACTTTTAATAGGAAACAAGTCAAAGCCAAGAGAGAGAATAAGGAAGAAAAAATAACTTAAGTGAAATGGTAAAGGGCTTTCCTAGGAAATGATATTGAACCCAATGGAAAGAGCCAGCCATGAACAGTATGGAAAGTAGCATGTTCCAGGGATAAAGCAGATTGTGTTGGCTAGTTTTATGTCAGTTTGACACAGGCTGGAGTCATCTGAGAGGAGGGAGCCTCAATTGAGAAAACGCCTCCATAAAATTGGCCTGTCTCCATTTTCTTCTTTGTTTGTTGCAGGGCGGGGAGGGGGGGGTTGGTTTTTCTAGACAGGGTTTCTTTGTGTAGTTTTGGTGCCTGTCCTGGATCTGACTCTGTAGACTGGCCTCGAACTCACAGGGATCCCCCTGGCTCTGCCTCCCGAGTGCTGGGATTAAAGGCGTGCGCCAACACAACCCGGCAAGCATTTTCTTAATTAGTGATGGATGCAAGAGTACCCAGTCCATTGTGGGTGGTGCCACCCCAGACCTGTGGTCCTGGATTCTATTTTAAAAAATCAGGCTGAGCAAGCCATGTGGAGCAAGCCAGTAAGCAGCATCCTCCATGGCCTTAGCATCAGCTCCTGCCTCCAGGTTCCTGCTCTGTTTGAGTTCCTGCCCTTACTGCTTTTGGTGGTGAACTGTTATATGGAAGCGTCTATGAAATAAGCCCTTTCCTCCCTGAGTTGCTTTTGGTCATGGTGTTTCATCACAGAAAGAGTAACTCTAACTAAGACAGAAATCTTGAGGAATCTGGAGAGGTCCATGACAGGATCAGAAAGGGGAGGGTGAAGGTTGGCATCCTTTTCCAAGTATCACAAGACGTCCTGAGGGTCGGGGAGGAGAGTAAGATGTGATCTCACTTTAGATGTGCACTCCGCATCCCAGAATGTTATTTCCAGGGTCATTGCTCATACCAGGAAAGCATCATTAGGCTCACGTCTCCTGGTGTGCTGTGCCTTAGCACCACAGGGGTACACAGGTAGGAGAGGCATTTGCTCGTTATAGATCATGGACACTATTAACTTGGCCCATCGATGCCTGATTCTTTTCCAACTTACTGTGTTGGTTACACCACCGCCAGCACAGTGCTCAAGGGCGTGTGAATTGCCTTCATTTGACATTTTCCCCAACTTGGAAGGTAGGAAATGGAATCCTGGTGCAACTTTCACATGCTTTCCTCGTTAACAAAAGGAGCATCATTCCAGCATAGCTGCCATGTTTAAACTCCACTTCTTTGATGGATTCACTATCTTCTTCTTCCTTGTTGACAGTTTATAAATACTCCGGATAGTAATTTTTTTTTTTGTCAGTTGCAGGTTTTGTAACATTTTTTGTTTCATTCAAATTTGTCTTTTCACACTATGTCCAAGACTTTATTTTCTACTCTTGTATTTTTTGAGATTATAATATAATTGTATCATTTCCTTTTCCTCCCATGCACACCCTTCCTTGCTCTCTTTCAAATTCATGCCCTCTTTTTCATCAATTGTTATCACATGCATATAAGATGTATATACACATGTATTCCTAAAACATAACCTCAGTCTGCATAATGATCCTTGTATGTATGTTTTCAGGGCTGACCATTTGGTATTGTGTAACTAACTGGGAACTCATCACTAGGGAAAACTTTCTCCCACTCTCCGTGTTCCTCAGTTGTCTGTAGTGCTTTGTATAGGGGTGAGGCCCCGTGGGCTTTCCACCATCCACTTCAGTGGGTCTATTGGTATCGTTCTTATTCAGCTCATCTTTAGGCAGTCCTGCTGGTGACACTTTACAGGTGTAGCCTCTGACATTACGAGAAGACATAGTCTCACAGCAAACTCCCTGACCCTCTGGCTTTTATAGTCTTTCAGTCTCTGTTCCGAAATGCTGCCCGAGCCTTAGGTGATAGGGTGTTTGGTAGATGTATCCCCTGGAACTGAGCTCCATGACTCTGCATTGTGATTGGTTGTGGTTCTCTACAATAAAGACCTTACAAGATTTTGGTTGTTTAACATTTCCTTTTAAGTTAGGGTCTTCTTACATTTTGAATTTATCTTTGTTTCCTAATGTTAATCACCCGCATTAGAATTTTTATTTAGATACTGAATTGTTCCACATTATTTATTGACTAGCCTTTCCTCTTCTGCTTAATATGCAAAATCAATCTGTCATATATCATGTTACTAATTTTTAATCACATTATAGTAAAAAAAAAATCAGACTACTTACCTAATTGGAGGGCATAGTTACTCTTATGAGTCTTAGGATTGACTTTTATTTTTAATTGAAATGACATTGAACCAATTGTTCAATTTAAGGAAATTTGACATCTTTACAGCATAAATATCCGTATTTATAGACACCGTGTATCTCTCCATTTGCTTAGATCATCTGTTATAACTCTCAAAATGTTAGATCATTCTACACAAAGATCTTATAAATCATTTATTATACTCATTCCTAGGTAATTGGTTCCTGTGTTGCTATTGTAAAGACAGTTATTGCAGTTACTTTGTTAATATATAGAAATGTATTTAGGTTTATAAATTGACTGAGGGGATTTTTACACATGTATGTGTGTGTGTACCTAAGTGTATTTGTGTTCACATGTATTTGGGCACATCTCTAAACTGATCTTTTATTCAACATCCTTTTATTAGTTTTGATAATTTATAAACTTTAAAATGTTCCTCTGTAGATGATAGTATGGTTAGAAATATTAATATTTTTGTTTTTACCGTGTGTGTGTGTGCGTGCGTGTGTGTGTGTGTGTGTGTGTGTGTGTGTGTGTGTGTGTGTGGTCTGGTGTATTATACATGTGTGTGTGTGCAGATGTGCATTTGTGCACTGTCCTAAAAAGGACATTGGATGCCTTGCTCCCTCCTTATCCACTTTATTCCCTTGAGGCAGGGTCTCTCTCTGAACCTGACATGAGGCTGGTATCCAGCTAACCCCAGCAACCTTCCTGTCTCTGCCCCACACAGTACTAAGCTTTTTATATGAGTGCCGGGATTGAAACTCAGATCTTCAAGTGTTCTTACATGCCCAGCCATCGCCCCACCTGTTTTTACCCTTCTGATCTTTATTTTTTTTTAAATAATTATACAAGTAAGAAAGTATTAGAATGTTGCATATAGGAAGCAATTCCAGATATTCTTGTTTTCGTTTTTTTTAAAGATTTATTTATTTGATGTATATGAGTGTTCTATCTGCATGTACGCCAGAAGAGGGCATCAGATCCCACTATAGATGGTTGTGAGCCACCATGTGGGTACTGGGAATTGAACTCAGGACCTCTGGAGGAGCAGCCAGTGACCTTAACTGCTGAGCCATCTCTCCAGCCCCCTTGTTTCCAATTTTCAGGGACTCCTTTAACATTTCAGTATTTATCAATCTTTTTCAGGCTAAGACATTAAACTACCCTTCTAATTCAGGTTTTCCAAGGAGCTATAAAAGCTACTGAGCCAGCCGGGCGGTGGTGGCGCACGCCTTTAATCCCAGCACTCGGGAGGCAGAGCCAGGCGGATCTCTGTGAGTTCGAGGCCAGCCTGGTCTCCAAAGCGAGTTCCAGGAAAGGCGCAAAGCTACACAGAGAAACCCTGTCTCAAAAAAAAAAAAAAAAAAAAAAAAAAGCTACTGAGCACTTCCTTAACTCCCTTCAAGATGATCCCCATTTGAAAATGCATAATATGTACGGTATCATTACATTCAAAATCACAAAAACATCATCTGCAGCCGGGCGGTGGTGGCGCACGCCTTTAATCCCAGCACTCGGGAGGCAGAGGCAGGTGGATCTCTGTGAGTTCGAGGCCAGCCTGGGCTACAGAGCAAGATCCAGGAAAAGGCGCAAAGCTACACAGAGAAACCCTGTCTCAAAAAACCAAAAAAAAAAAAAAAAAAAAAAACAAACAAAAAAAAATCATCTGCTAAAATACACAGGACACTGGACAACCTTTAAGAAACACAAATTGCAGCTGAGCAATGGTGGCACATGCCTTTAATCCCAGCACTCGGGGGGCAGAGCCAGGTGGATCTCTGTGAGTTCAAGGCCAGCCTGGTCTACTGAGTGAGTTCCAGGACAGGCACCAAAACTAGACAGAGAAACCCTGTCTCGAAAAACAAAAACAAACAAAAAAGGAAACACAGATTGCTGTAAACTTGTGTACATTTGATTGGGGAAAGCTTTGGCAAACTAACAGTTAGGCTGATTCAACTTAATAATTAAATTGTAATAACATTATTAAATTTATTTGATGTAATTAATAATTAAATGTTGGTTCATTAATTAAATTAATCATTCAGCAAATAGAAAAATCAAGAATTGTTGTTGGGCCAAGTAGCGTTGGGAGAGCCATTGTGCCGGTTGGCGGTGAGACCAAGGGGAAAGTTACTCATTGGCACCTAAGTGGAAGGTCCACGATGGGTTTTGGGGACCCACACCAGGCTCATGATGGTAAACAGGTCAAGAGCGAGGCAGAGCTGTGCTGGAATGCAGGAGAGAGGACCAGCCATGCCTGACAGCTGTCCCTGAGCTCTGGTTTGGGGACCGACTTTGAAGTGCAAGGCAGCCTGGCAATCACGCTCTTGCTGACTCCACTGGGTGACCTGACTCAGCTCCTACTTCTCCACTTAGCAGCGGCCACTTTCCCTCTTGATCTCTCCTCTCCCAGGCCTCTCTCTTGCTCAGCCAGACGCTAAGGACCAGAGCTTTTAGTCCTCACCCGCTGACGAGCAGGAACCCCGCAGACTGGGTTTCACTCCTACGCCTAGACAAGAGGGAAATGTAGACTCTTCAGGGGAACTGAGTTTTGAAAATGTTGACATCGCTGCTCCCTCCTCCAGGAGCAGGGAGGACTTGGGAGCAGTCAAAGAAAGGGAGACTGTGTTAGGGTGGTCATTTGTTTCCTGAGTGTGGGGCGAGTGTCCCTGTGAAGGAGGTCAGAGTGGCAGAGCTGCTGGAGACCCTCAGAGGGGAGGGTGAAAGACAAGCAGATTCATAAGGCGGCGAGAGTGAAGAGCACCAGGGTGTAGGGGCGTGTGGCTGTGGAGGTCAGAATGAGGAGGTTAAAGGCCTCTTCCAAGGAGAGTCAGAATTCTCAGAGCAGGAATGGATGGACATGTTCAGCAGCTATCAGTGCTAGGAGAGAGTCTCTCCCCCAACACCTCCACACACCACCTCAAAGCACATAACAAGTTCTCAGTACATGGTAACCTCAAAGCACATAACAAGTTCTCAGTACATGGTAACAGCTCCATGCTGTTACCAGATTTTCAAATTCACAGCATGTCCTTCTCTCCCCTATGACTGCCTCATAGACCCCTGCTCCTCATTCAAGATGTACCTTCTGAAAGGCTTTATACAACCTCGGGGGGGGGGGGGGGGGGGGGGACTTTCCTGAGGCCCCAATTCTGGCACCTCCAAATCAGCAGTCTTTTTATATTTGTGGGCACCGTGTCCTGTATCAGCCAGTTTTCAGAATGTATCGCACTGGGGTGTGGTTGTTGGTTTGTTGTTTGATTGATTGTTTTTTCTACCAAGCCAACACAGCTTAACCTTCTCCCCCACTTACCTTCCAAGGCTCCTGGAGCGTTTCCAGTGAGATGCTCACACACTCCTGTGTGTTTAACGGCAGTTTTGATTGCTGCATTTCTCCACTCGCTTTCCCTCTGCCACACTTCACCTCCGGTCAAACAGCCAAGGGCATCTTTGACATTCTGATCTAGGGAACGCTGTTTGGACACTCATTGAGCTGGAGTTAGTGGAATCTATCTTTGTAATTCACCTTTATCTCTGTGTGCACATTAGACTTTGCTGACCATCTGGGGTTGGAATGCCTTTCGGAAACATCCTCATGACTTACTAAGCTCATTCATTCCGCTTACTGGCATAGGGATGCAGGACCGCTGATAGCATCATAACGTGAACATCCCCAACAGGTGCTGCAAGTTAGAGTCATGTGGGTAGTAGAAGAGAAAGAAGGGTTTGAAGTGCATGGAGCCAGAAGCTAGGCTTTGAAAAAGCCCTTCCCATCATTAGATGTGCAGGTTCCACGCGATGGGCCCCATTGTCTTATTGCTCAGTCACCTCGGGGTGACTGTATAGACAAGACTCAGCTGATGGAATAAATAACCAGTCTTAGATTTGCTTTCCTTTTTACGGTAACTGCACACATTAGTGTGTCGGAAGTCCTACGGCGGGGAGGGGGGGGGGGAACGACCCTAACCTCAAAGTAATACAAAGACAGCCATGACATCGGTGTGTTACATAGATTAGCACTTACAAGAATGGATTTGAATTTGAAAAAATTACTACTGGCAAAAATTATACATATGTTTATAATATTATAAACAGTATGTGGCCAGGGTCAGGGTCTATTCATACCAAAAGCTGAGATCAGCCTGGTGAATACAGTCAGTTGTAGTCAGAAGTGGACACAGCCTTCGAGGGGCTGGGGTTGTGAAATTTTAAGTTTTTCAAATCAGAGACTCTGTCCAGTGATTAATCAATCCTTGTGCTACATGAGGATTATTTTTCTAGATTTGAAGATGTTACAGAATGTGTTGCCTTTTTCAAATTGATAATTTGATTTCTTTCCTCATTCTAATAATATATAAATAAATAAAATACAAATGAATAATATACTCACCTTTGTACCTGATTTTTAGTCATGATGTTTCTTAGAGAAAAACTTAAAATTTCACAACCCCAGCCCCTCCCCGAAGGCTGTGTCCACTTCTGACTACAACTGACTGTATTCACCAGGCTGATCTCAGCTTTTGGTATGAATAGACCCTGACCCTGGCCACATACTGTTAAGTGCTGGGTTAAGGAACAGATGTGATTTGGCCAGCTGAGGGGATTAACCCCTATAAGGAATTCATGCTGGATTGGAAGCAACTCTTGTTACCAGTATTTCATCTTTTTGGTAACAACAACAACAAAATGTATAAGAAAGCCAAACTTGTCAGATGATGGTAGTGCAGGCCTTTAATCCCAGCACTTGGGAAGCAGAGGCAGGTGGATCTCTGTGAGTTCAAGGCCAGCCTGGTATACAAAGAGAGTTCCAGGACAACCAGGGCTACATAGAGAAATCTGTCTCAAGAGAGAGAGAGAATTTATGAAAGGTTTGAGCAATTTTCATTCTACTAAAATTTGCAGATCATCCAAAACTGTTCTTCAAAAGAAAAGCACGATTTAATCATCTATGTTCTACTTTTTAACCCATCTTTAAAATTTAAAACCACACAGATTAATTTAACTTAGTTACCCTTTCTTTCAATAAGAGCTTATCAACAGATTTTTTTAAAAAAAAAAATCAGATGTGTTTATATGATTTTGTCTTTGTTCATTTGAGATTTATTTAGCATTCCTGTTCAAAATAAAAAACAAGCAAGGAGAACTGAATTAAAAGTTCTAGGAACTGCTTCCTCTGCAGTTCTGTGGAAGACAAAGCATGGCGTAGCAGGAGAGCAATGGAGATGCTTGCCAGGAAGCGTGCACGTGATGAATGAGTGCTTTCAGAGAGCCCACTACAAGTAACTGTCTCTTGTGTTTGCATAGTGGCTTGTGTGTGGGAATATTTCCATACACTTGAGCGCCTTTCACTAAACTAGATGGATTACAATCACTCCCTACATTGCTTAGATAAGGAAAGCAAGGCACAGAACAAGAAAGGAAGTTTTCTGTGCTGGTATGTGAGGAAATAAAACCAATAAAAATGAAATTAGCTATGGGAGTGAATGCACGGATGGAATCAATCTACCCAACTTCATTGCCTTTCACCTGGCTTGGATCCAAATTATTCCCACTATTTTCAAAATTCAATGATAATTTAGTTTATGTCACCTAGGATAGCTTTTAGAGCCCCAGAAGGGACATTCAGAAATAGGCACCATACTGTTTTTAAAGAGAACTATGGGGATTGCTGACCCTAACTGATTATGCAGTTCCGTGAGTTTCCACTAAGGTGGACAGATGCACCTCAACTCCTGGTGGGGTTACTTCCCAAAACTCCAGTGTAAGTTAGACAAGGGCAACAAAAACAAAAACAAAAATCAAACAAAAAAATCCACAGTTCTTACCTTAAAGCAGTGGTTCTCAACCTGTGGGTTATGACCCTACTGTGATCCAATGGTGCTTTCACAGGGGTCGCATATCAGATGTCCTGCAAATCAGACATTTACATTACAATTCATAACAGTATCAAAATTACAGTTATGAAGTAGCAACAAAAACAATTTTATGGTTGCGGGGGGGGGGGGGGGGGTCACCACAACATGAGGAACTGTATTAAAGGGTTGCAGCGTTAGGAAGGTTGAGAACCACTGCCTCAAAGGGCATAAGTGTTTATTCTGGAGCCATTTTGAGTGGCCAGAGCCCAGGAACACAGACTTAGGTTAAACCAAATTCCATGTTCCAATTTTGAAGCCGTTTCATGAAGTTTTATTGTTTTACAGGACAAAGACGGTCATAAATCAAGGCAAGTTTAATACATGTGGATGGGTACATCAGAGAGGTGGTTATAGCAAGATGAGGGAAGTTTTTCTATAGGCCTCAGATGCTATCTGAGATTCCCAAAAGGTTTTTAATCTATTAGCCACAGGATGTTAGTCCACAGAGGTGGACAAGACATTCAGGGTGCTAAAGCTAGTCGAGATAAGGTAATGAGCCCTGGACCTGCAACATTCCAACCTCTCCACATCACTGTGGTTCTAATCAGTCAGCCTCTGAAGACACAGCTTGCTTCCAGGAATTCTCACTGACAAAAACCATATTCATACCCCAGGAAAATAGTCAACACTTCAAAAAGTTCCAGCCACTCAAACATAAGGACCTGAGTTTGATTCCTAGCACTCAAATAGTAGTAGTAGTTATAATAATAATAATAATTAATAGCAGCCGCAGCATGAGCTGTAGTCTTCCAATGTGGGAAGACAGAGGCAGAAGGACCCATAGAGTTAATGAGCAATCCAGCTTCTCTAAATTGGTTAGCTTCAGGTCCCAGTGAGAGACCCTGTCTCAAAAACCAAGGAGGACATCTCCCAAGGAATGACATTGGAGATTGCCCCTCTGGCCCCGACATGTACAGACACAAAATGTGCACACATGAATACATGCACATACCCACAACTCACACACGCTTGCACACACACACTACAAAAGTATGGTTTCTGTTGAACACACTTCTCTTTAACACCATCACAGAAAATGGAAGAAACACAAAGCTGACGCATGGCATGTTGGGGACTCATAAAAGACAGTGGCATATGTTCTGAGTGCTTCTGGGAAGTGGTGAACTAGGAAGTGTAATGGGTAATGTTTTTAAACAGTCACAGAAAGCTCCCTGGCATCTTTTGGGGAGCGTTGGTGTGAGGAGCACTGCTTGGTGTACAACTGACTTTCCAACTTATGAACTATCCATTTGTGTGTGTGTCTCATTTTCTTCAACAGTGAAGTGGGGATGAGAATCAAGATTGCAGAGAATTCATTTTTTGGTTTTGTTGTTGCTGTCGTGGTTTTTGTCATTGTTATTTTGAGACAGGGTCACACTATGTAGCTCTGGATAGAACTCACAGTGCAGACCAAGCTGTCCTTGAATTCCCTCTGTCTCATGAGAGCTAGGATTAAAGGCACGGGCCACTCCACTTGTCCTTTGTCTGCAGAGAGTCCCGGGAGGGGGAGGGGGAATTCAGAAATATGTACAATAGTAAATTGTACTATTTACTATTGTGTGTGTGTGTGTGTGTGTGAGAGTGTGTGTGTGCTTGTGTATTTGTATATATAACAAGTATGTGACACTCACAAACATTCTAAAGTTGGCTGTTGTGATTTTAAGGTAGTGAAGGATTGGGAATTCACACAGAAACAAAGGAATATTTTCCCCCTAGAGTTCCTGGGGGAGAGGGTTAAGAACACACCCTTTCCTCTCTAGCATACACCTGCTCATAAAAGAAAGTCTGTTGGAAGCAGCCATTCCTTGAGTTAACTAGATGGCTAAAGACCCAGGTCCTACTTGCAGGACTTCCAGTCTCTGTGACCAACACAGACACCAACCAGAAGTCATGTGTCCACTTTGAAAATCACACTATTAGCCTAAATCTCCAAATTCAGCCACAGCGTATCTTCTGTTCCTCCCAAGTCTCCTGGATTTGAGGGTTGAAAGTTAAGATAAGAAAAACCAAAACCAAAAACTTTTGGCTTCACTTAGTAAGTATCTCACAGCAGAGGCTAATTCCGAGGGTCATTATGATTTCTTCCCAAAAGATGTTTAAGTATCTTCATCACTGAGAAATATAAGTTCACTATATTTATCATCTTTAATTGATAGCTCTTCAGCACCTAGAAATATAATTGCATGTTAATTATCAATTAAGAGCTTTACTGTTTTGTCTTTAGGGTTGCAAGCCTAGACTCTACCGGTTGAACTGTCTGTCCAGCCCAAGAGTTACGCTTTTTAATGAGTGATCTTATCCAAAAGGCCTAGAAGTGATAGGGTTTGTTTTTTCTCTTTTCTTTTTTTCTTTTGTGGGGAAAGGGGCATGCACTGTGTGTGGCATGCATCTGGAGGTCAGAGGACAACTTGTAGGGATTTGTTCTCTCCTTCTACCATTTGGGTCCTGGAGATGGTCATCAGACTTTTTATGAAGTAAAATTTAATACTGAGTTGTTTAAATAAAAATTTCATAAAATTACATTGTATAATTTATATAGCTATAGATATAGATCTATACTGTTAAGTGCATCTCTACTGAATGGTACCTCCTCATTTACTAGAGCACTTGCCTACAGGAGTGGGCAGAACTAAGACCATTTGACTTTGAACTTTCACCATATCTGGTTTATAATAATAAAACAGAGCTAGAGTGATAATAAATAATATATAATAATAAAGCAGCAGCTAAGAGCACCAGCTAATCTTCCAGAGGTCCCAGATTCAATTCACAAAACCCACTTGGTGGCTCATAATCATCTATAAGTCCAGACCCAGGAGACCCAACGTCCTCTTCTGGCCTCTGTGGGTATTGCATGGACATGGTGCACAGACATACATGCAAGCAAAATACCATGCACATAAAATAAGATAATAATAAAAAAAATTAAGTATAATAATAACAACAACAATAAGAGATTGGCCCTCACATGCTTCTTTACCCAAATGGAAGTTCTGAGATAATGCTGCAAAGCATGGTAAATAGTTAACTGCATATCAAGTGACCTTTCTTTTCTTTTTATTTCTTTTTTTTAAGTCTCCTTTCTTATAGTCCATATCTAACTGATAAAGAGGGAGTTTTATCTCTTCTTTTTCCATGTAACTATATAAATAGCCACTAATTAATGAGAGCAAGAACATGCTGATAAAATGTTCATTTATGCCACAAATGACAGATTCTTTTTAATCTATGATTCCTTGGACCCCAAAGAGTTGTTTATCATTGAGATCGAAGGAAATAAAATCATAATTGTTATGTGCCTATCAAGTTGGCTGGTAGACAACCATGGACTTTTATTTGAGCAGCCAATCAAAACACACTGAGAAACAGAGTGGCGACTTAGCTGTTAGATGATTCTCATTAGACCCAGTTCCACCGTCTCTTAATAAAAACGACAGCAACGTAACACTTCTGAGCAGTCTCCGGTGGCCAATGTCTTCCTCCCCCGAGAGCTAATCCAAACATGACTTTATAAAATGGAGACTGCTGTCGCTCCATCTTCCAGATTAGAAGCTGGGGATTGGGCATGGCAAGGCTAAGAGAGGAGCTGGACTCCAGATGAAGTCTCTAAACCCCGTACTCTCTCAGCTCCCCTGTGACCCTGCTCCTCCCATCTGTAACTCCCTCTTTCCTGAAGTAGCAGAACTGGGCTAAAATACACAGCCCTCCTACAGGAAGGAGGTAATTAAAATCTAGTATATGAAACCAAAAGTATTAGTGCAGCAATAATAAATCAAATGCAATAGACCAACATAAAAATGAGAGAAAACACATAGAGCGGAAGAAAATATTTACGAAGCAGGTATCTGATAATGGTCTCGTATTAAGAATTCTTACTACTCAACAGTGAAAAGGTAGCAGCACACTTAAAAATGAGCAGAGTGAATTGGGCGGTGGTGGTGCACACCTTTGATCCCAGCACTTGCGAGGCAGAGGCAGGTAGACCTCTGAGTTCAAGGCCAGCCTGGTCTACAGAGCAAGTTCCAGGACAGCCAGGGCTACACAGAGGAACCCTGACTCAGGGCAAAAAAAAGGAACAAAGTGAAGAACCAGAGAGATGGCTCAACAGTTAAGAAAGGCATGCTGTTTTTCCAGACCTGGCTTCTATTCCCAGCACCCATGCCAGGTGACGGACAACTGCCTGTAACTCCAATACCTGGGGATTTGATGCCCTCTTCTGGCCTCCACAGGCACCCATACCCATGTGGCATGCATGTGCACACACGCACATACACACACAAATAAAGTAAAAATAAAAATAAATCAGTCTTTTTGAAAGTGAGCAAAAGATTTGAACAGATTTTTTTCACCAGACAAGACATACAGTACAGTAGAATGTTGCACTAAAAATCATTTGTCATTAAAAAAGGAAAACTTAAACCACAATGGTACAATTTCGTGCTTACTAACACAGCTACAAACGAAGACAGGCACTAACAAGTGTGAGTGTGTAGAGAAACTGAGTCTTCCATACTGTTGTTGAGAATGTAAAATCACACAACCTCTTTGAAAGGAACAGGTTGGCAAGTTCTTCAAAAAGTAGAACGTAGAATTATGATATGACTCAGCAAATTTACATGTGTCCATGGAAACACCTGCTTATGCCTATGGGTCATTTACACCTCCTCCGAAAAGCTGGGAGAAAACTTGTGCTAACAACAGAGCCCCCACTGGCACATAAATATTCACCACAATGTTGCTTATAGTGCATATATAATTGTATATAAATATATAATATCTATAATAAATAGCCACTATATAACAATGTACTAAAGAATGAATAAGTAAAATGTGGGAGATTAATGTTATTAGAATATTATTTGGTCATAACAAAGAATGAAATACTGTTGCACGCTGTGACATAGATGAAAAAGACTAGTTCCAAGAGGCTCCATGACTCCATTTAAATAACGTGATTAAAGTAGGCAAATCTTTAGACAGAATGCAGACGATA